AAAATGGTGCCCTTTCAAATGTCTCCCAGGAACAGACTCTGAGCGAGGATGGTATTTTTTTCAAGCCTTGCTTTTCTCCTTTTTTTTCTGCAAAATGCTGCTCTTGTTTTCTTTAATATTTCTATCTGCCTTCTCAAGGCATGGTTATTAGCCACCAAAACAACCAAAAGACATGTTCAGTGCAAGTATCTAGAGGCATTTCGGTTTTGATATTGATTCAAGGAATATATTGTTTATGACTGTCATTTGAGAATAATGTAATTAGACTATTTATAGTGATGTTTGGAAGACATACAATTAATAAAGTGGTGAAGAGATGCATCATCCAAATTACAATATCCTGCATCACCTGATGTGAGTATCATCCTATGAAATAGTCTCATGTTCTTACGCTTGTATCAAGTTCAAGTCAGCTGGTTGAAGAGGAATTTAGACAGACGGAAGATGAAGTTCTTCCTTGGCCTTTGAATAACTCCAAGAAAGTACTCTGCTCTTACACAGTTTTGCAAAAACAGGATCACTGGCTATCCTTCCTCCTTTCCTATGGAAAGGGCATTCTGCTTCCAATGCCCTTCCCTGCTTACGTGCACTGGAGGAGGCCCAGCTGTGGAGCAGAGTGGGACAGAGGATCCCCTGAGCCCTTACCCTAGCTTGCTTTTTCCTCTGTATGTGAGGTGGCACATGATCAGCAAAGAGGATCCTTCACTGGTCGTGAGTTCCCCTTCTAACACAGATGAACCATGCAGGTGGAGCCTTCCCACCTTACTGGAGTGGGCTGAACCTTTGGACCTGGCCTTTGGGCTAGTAGATCAGTGCCCAGAAGAGAGAGCCCAGCTCTGCTTTCTGTAAAACCTGTCAACTCTGGCATCTCCATCCTGTCTCTCAGAGACACCCTTTGTGTGGCGCTGCAGACAGAGAAATATTTCTGTCTGTGTTATCCCTGGTCCAAAGCACCCAAGTGCCACAAAAACTCTTTTTCCCTGTTTGATCTTGGGGCTTCCCAGGCAGATGAAGACCAGTACTTCGCAGCAAATTTCTGAGGTCCTTGAATATTGAGTGATGTTACAAGACTCATTAAAACCTACCCCTCCGGAAAAACACATGGTTAATATCCACCTGTCTACTCTAATTACTTTTTTATTGCATATTTTTTTCTTCTCTGTTTCAGGGTGCACGTTCAAAAGAGCAGTGAATGCCTCGTCATACACATATACAGTGCTTCATACCACTCAAGATTATAAAAACAGGGCTTATATATTGCCTTTCCAAAAGTTTTTGAGGATATCTTTTTATTGTTTAATATGCTGCAGTGCATTGACATCCTAAACAGGACAAAACTGACTCTGTTCTGGGATTAGGAGAAACACAGCTATACCATGTTAGCACCCAGCCCTGCTGAGAATCTGGGTCAGTCAGCTCAGGCCACATAGCTACGTTGTTTTGAGCTCTGAACTCAGCTGAGCGTCCTGGAGAGCTCAGTGTTGGCTGAATATGAGAGCTTGGGGAATCACCACGCTCTAATCCACACTGGGCTGGGGGTGTACCCGAAGTGGTTTTGGTTTGTGGCTTGGATAAAAAAAAAAACAGTGAGACTTTTGGTCTAAAATTAGTCAGGGATCCCTAAAAAGTTTTGCCATCATACCTCTCGCTATTTGGTATGGAGCCATGATGGCTTTGAACGTGTGCCCATGGGACTCGTGCCTTTAGGAAGCTGGTGGCTGGGGACTTTCACAGCCTGAGCGAGCCACCAATGGCATCGAGGCAGCACGGCCCTTTGCCATCACAATGAAAGAGGAAAGGGGACAGCAGTGGAGCGTCCAGTTGCCAAACAAACTTTAAATACATCAAACACTCAGTGTAAGCAGTTGTCACCAGGAGACATGTGACTGTAGGAGATGCTGCGGTTTGGAAGAGGAAGTGGCTGACGTTAGAGGGTCCATGGGAATATTTTAATAAAGCCACTGCCTGTACTTTCGTCACTGTTTGTTTCTATGATATTAGATTTGACACAGCTGTTGCTTGCAGGGCTTTTCTTTGAAGAGTTAGAAAATCCTAACACTGTCATTTAGTGAGTGACACTTTTCTGTAAACTATGTGGACTTCTATAAATATTGCTGACTCCATGCAGGGCATTATTATCTAATCTCCCGGGGAACATCTCTAATCACTGCCTACCCGCCCATGTCAATCTAGGACACATCCAACCCTTAGAAATAGCAGTGGAGAAATCAGAAAATGTTCTAACACATGGAGCTGGCAGACAAGTGCGAGACAAGATCACAAACTCTGCAAAATGAACAGTTTGCAACGTGCTTCTCTCTTTCCCCCATCAAAGGGCTGGCTCAGTATCTCGCGATGACTTCAAATTAACACACGAGCCTTCTTTCTTCTTTTTTTTTCTTCTAAATAAATTTCCGTTTAATCAGAGCTGCCTACTTGACAGTAACACAATTATCTGCAGTGGATCATCTTCTGTTCCATGGCCAAAGTGGTCTCCTTTTTTTCATTACGAATTCATAAACGGTTTTCCAGTTGAAACAGGTCTGAGTGTGATGTTAGAAGGAGTGTTGTGTGTTGTTTTAAGACTGCTGCGGAACAATTGGAAGACCTAATTATAACCTCTTCATATGAGCAAACAGTGAGAGAGAACAGAGGTGAGAAGAGCTGGATGGTTCTATTCACCTTTGTCTTCATCGAACTCGCCATTCAGGAAATGGATCAGGCATGCCTGGGAAATTTTCTTCATTTTTGGGTTGGCCTTAATATATATGTCTTCCTTGAAAAGGCTATCCATCGCACAAGAGTCTAACTGCAAACTGTGAATTTGTGATAAGCCCATGTATGATTTCATGCCGGAAAGGCTTTTTTTGAGGGTTTTTAGTGGGCACCTCTCCAAGTTTGTTCACTTATAAAGAAAGCTAAAAAAAAGAAGAAGAATGAAGAATGGTGTTCCCTGGTAGACCACACAGGTAAGACATACAGCAGGCTCTTCCTGTGCAGCGTGTATGTGACTTATGAACACCAGCTTGCGTTGTCTGGCTGAATACAGAAGTACTTCATATTCAGCAAAGGCAAACATATGGCACTGGCAACATTCCAGGTAAACAGGCTCATGCAAACAAGATGATAAATACATGGCTGATGTTGGTTGTCTTTGCTGTTACTTAATATTTATGAAGCAACTTTGAAGTGCAATGGAGTATGAGATATGAAACTTTTTATTGCAGCAGGGGTTAGGACTTCACAGGTGTTTCCAGGTTTTTACCCTAGTCACTAGGCAGAAGTTCGCATTCTGTCACACACCGCCCTGAAGCACTGTTTAAGCTGTACAGGTACCAATGAGATTATCACTGCTCAGAAAGTCTGATTACCTAGTAGTCAGGGTACCATAGTTGTCAATATATGGATCTAAAATTTGAAAATCTGGGGCTTTCTTATTTTCTAATTTTAGGAGCGCGGTAACATGTAGTCATTATGCAAAGAGTAGAGTTGCCACTTTTGAGAGCAGGTTCTGGCATACATGCACAATTCCAGGAAAAGGTTTAGTGTTTTTGACTGCTAACAAGCACTTCAGCTTCAGCAAAAGGATGCTACCTCTGAAATTAGTGGGTCATAAGCCCCTAAGTCTCCATCCTTGGAGACACTCAAATACCATTTGGGCATGGTCCTGGTCAACCTGCTATAGGTGGCCCTGCTTGAGCAGAAGGGTTGGGCCAGATGACCCCCAGAAATGCCTTCCAACCTCAGCCATCCTGTGATTCTGTAAGGCATTTCCTCTCAGCTTGCTTCAGCAGCTTTAAGCCACAGTGTGTTGGATCTATAATTCTGATTTAAAGGTGTAACCTCCCTTGCATTGTTTAGGGGACATGTGTAGCACTCAGGCCTGCGGGTGACAAAGAGTCAGAAAAGTATTCAGACCACTCAGCATGAAGAACTTGAATTAGTCAGCATAGTCGCTGTAAGAAGAGACAAGTACCTTCATAGCTCCATTCAGAAAAGCTGAACTTAGAACAAATGACCCATGGCAAAGGAACATTTTGGTTTTCTGTTCTGATTTTGTCTTTTTTTTTTTTTAGCAGGGGTGGGGTGTTTTAAACAGGGAAGCTTTTCAAAGGGGGAGATTTGACAGAGTTTTCTAAAGAAGGCTTCATTCCCAGGTCACAGATTTCAAGATCCCAGGAGTTTCAGAATCTAGCCTGCCCAACTGCTATCTTATAAATCACAAAGTGATCCCTGAAGGGGTAGGAAACTCGCAATGAATTGCCTTAAAAACTAGGACCAGAACCCAATGAGATGAAAGAACAGAGAGTGGCTTTTCTCACAACAGCCAGCAGTCTGAAGAGGAGGGCAGGTCCTTGTCATGTTGTTTGGATCCTGTGTATTTAGAACAGACTTCTATTTAGGTATCTATTGCATATGTGTTCATGAAAACTCAAGAAATCAGCTAGCAAGGATCCAGCAATGGAAGTTAGTGGAAGATATTTTCTGCTCAGCAGTACTTCTGTTGAAAAAAATCTTCCACTAAAATCATTCATATGATATGATATGATACTGTGAGGCTAAAAACCAAATGCTGGGGACACGGTTTTGAAGGGTTTGGTCTACTGGGAGAAACGGATTGGACAGATGCTCTGCATGAAGATGAAGCATCTTGCTTTTGGGCTGTCACATCTGGGCAACGTTTAAGCAACTGGTTTGGAGAAGCCCACTCCTTCAGTATGATTCTGTGCAAAATGCTTGTGAGAGGATCTTTTATTATGCAGTCAACTTTGATGGTAATTTGTAGTGATTGCTCAAAACTAACACTTCCATCTGCTGTCTATCATAGAGCTACTTAGAGAAAAATCTCCTAACATATCCATATAGGTTTGCATTCATCCTCAGTGTCATTAAAACCAATTCCCAATATTCTATATGTTTAGTAACTATGTTTGATATGCAATGATGCAGATTAGTGACTCCTTTCCTGAATTAAAATAACAGCATAGAAGCAAAAATATAAGTATAGATTTATTAGAGAAGTTATCTAAAATACAATATCGTTTTCCTCTTTAAATTAGAGCATATATTACTTCAATGAAAAGATATTTTGTATTATTTCTATGGTAATAACAACCTTTAAAGATAATACTTAATTTAGGACAATTTTAATTAAAAAATCCAGTACTACCATTAAGACATATTCAAGGTTGTTGATGACATGGGTAAAAATGTAAATGGTCTCAAAAATATTTACATGTCAGTTTCTTAAAATCTAAGAAGTCTAATTCTCAATATTCATTTTGCATTACTTTCTCAAAATACTTTTTTTTCCTAAATCATTCTGTATTCCTGTGCTTTTCACAAAGCTTCAAGTTATCATTTGTTATGTGTACTATCACACCAGTGGATGAGGTTTCTTCGAATGGCTTATTTTGCTATTACCATATCCTCTCCCAAGTAGCCAACATACTGTTACACCAAAGCGTCAGTCACAGTAATAGTCACCAAAATGCACACAGCCACCGCCCCCCATGCCTCCCCCAACCCCACACCTTAAGAACCCTTTCCTATATGGCCAAGAGCCTTTCACGTTTCATTAGCTGGCATTTTAGATGCAGAGCGAAAGAAAGAATGGATCTGGGAGACGAGATGTTGCCAGGGCACACACGGCAAAGGTTTGATTTGTGCTTAGCAAAAGGGCCTCCTCACAAACACAGCAACTTCTAACACACTCCGTGCTGAGGTTACTTGAAGGAAGCTCTGATTTCTCTGCCCTTCAAAGGCTGACATGGGCGCCAGTTGTCCACCATATGGCACATGGGCTCGTTCTCAGCGTTGAAGCAAAGGCCACGGAGCTTGCACATCTGTGGAAAAAGGCACAAACATCTTCAAAATGCATGCTCTTCTTTCGGCCTGAGCCAGAGGTCCAGCTCAAGGTTTCACCAGCAATAATGGTCTAGAGATGGCATCACCACCCATGCGTCTCTGCACTTCACCCACACCATTTCCTGCCCCTGACACAGGCTCTCCTGTCCACAAAATATCCTAGCAAGTACAGCTAAAAGCACAGAAAACAAGGATGCAGGCACACATTTTCTGAACTGTGTGCACAAAGATTTGTTTGTCCTTGATCCCTATCTGAATTGAAATCCTTTCAGAATCCTCTGCAAGTTGTATGTTTTGGGCTCTTTCGAAGGTTGGACTTTTTTAATCCAGTTGAAATGCTGAAAAAAAAAAAAGATCTTACCCTTGGGTCAAATGAAAGCAGCCAAATTCATTCAAGATGTGTTTATTTTCCAGTACTGTGAGCGGGAATACTGTTCCACATCCATAGGAGCATACTGTAAAATCTTAGTGTTTGTTCCTGAAGTAAAATTTGTCTGACGTAATAAAAGCACCTTTATGTCTAAGTGGGCATCTTCAAAACTAGTAAAAAGACTGTGCCAAAATAACAACCCACCCTAAATATGATCTCACACAGACAGTTGGAACTGCTGACAGAAATATGTAGGTGGCATGCAGGATTTCACACAAGTCAGGCTCCAGGCTAGGCTGTCCCTCAGTCAAGGAGGAAGGCCCCCAGCAGCGAGCAGCCCAGGAAAGGACTTTACCTTCAGGACTGACTGAACAAAGTCCAGAGCTCAACCTCTGCCAGGAGCTGCTGTGCCACTGCAGCAAATGATAACAGGCTCGTTACACCCTGCTGCAATATCCAGCTTTTATCTATATTTGGAAAACCAATTCAACTTAAACCCCATGTCAATACTCTGCTTTATGGTTTCTTGATCAGTTTTGGAACGAAAAGGCAAGCTGCCACACACACTGTTTTGATCTCAAATCCATCTTTGAAATGTTGACAGTAATACAGAGGGGTGTGTGTGGGAGAAACAAGCGGTGTCTTTTACCACCTGTAGGTGGTTAAAGCAGGTGTAGTAGGAAAAACATTTTGGTGAATGTGCTCCTGCCCTATAACAAAACTGTATTTGCAAACCTTGCATTATCAATAGCAATACCAGTAGTTTAGAGCTAGTAAACAGTGTCAGCTCTAATGCTCCCTTGCAGTTTATCAATGGTAATCATTGCCATAATTATTATTTCCAATAGTTCTTCCTTGTAGTTTATTCTGTCTTCTATTACATTCTGTCTCACCACAGTTCAGTTGCCCTTTTTTCACATCAGCTGAATAAAATCCCTAGAATTAGGTGTATATTGTTAGCATGTCTGCCATTGATAAAAGGGATTTAAGAGTTTGAAGGGTAAACTAAAGCCCTTCAGGGCTGGTTTATATTTACAGGCTCTAGGTTCTATTTATATCTCCCAAGAACACAGACGCGAAGCTGCAGATGGAACCTTGCCTCTATGCAATTTCATTAATGGATGGTGCAGAAAGCTAGGGCCAGGAGTGACTTAATCTGCACGAGCTCCCTCCTACTAGCAAGACGCTATCCTCCTCAAGCTGCTCAACAGAATAAAGGTCTTTTTCAGGCAGCAGACTTCTGGAATCTGTAAGTTTTGCCTCTTCCAAACAACACAGTTTTGTTAGGATTGTCACAGTTCTGCGTGGGATTTCCCAGTCTGTTCTGCACTGAGTAGAACTTGTAAAATGAGCTCTGTGTCCTGGACATGCTGGAAGATCAACAAACCATCTACAGATCTACGGTGTGAGACTGCAGAAGCAGAATACATGCTCTTCAGATGCTTGGTAAACCTGGTATTTTCAGGGCAACAGACAGGAGATTTGTACACATACAGCAAGCCTGCTGATGCTCACAATACATGCTAGACTAACTCTGCATGTGTCCTTTCATACATGCTACAAATTTCCCAGATTTTTACCACATGGAAGCTCTAACCATGTATCTGGAAAGCCTAATTAAAATTCTAAAACACCCCAAATTTTCCCTGGACTGTCCAAATGGAGAACAGCCTTTAATTTCACAGCAAACTCTACTTCCACACGTAGAGGCAGAGTCCTGCCAGAAGAGGATAACCACTTCAGATATATATTTTTGACATGTGATACTAGCTAATACCCTGCATGGCTCTGCAGTAACATAAACTGCCACTTCAAAGATCACCAGGATAGCTGAACTGAAGCAATCAATATGACTCCAGCACATATCTACTGGCACCATCCATTGGAGACCTACCTGCTCAGGGCTGATAGTGATGGGCTCCTTCAGAACGTGCCAGATCACACATTCGAGCAGCGGAGGGGTGGTCAGTGAGCCGAGGTACGTCCAATAGTCTCTGCACCCAGGAAGCAGTCCAGTGGGGTCAAAGTTTGTGAAGGAAGCTTGCTTTCACTACAATAAAGAAAGCAGATGGTCTAGCATCAGCGGAGAGGCCGCGTACACATGCTGGGCTTACAGTAAAGTCTCCTATGCAAAGCTCCACATTTGGAGAAAGACAGAAATGGAGTTTAACATGAACTGTTGAGTGCCTCCTACAGTACATTTGGGATTAAAGACTTTCAGCAATATATTTCTCCTGTTAAGACTTTCATGACATTCTCATTTCAAATGTTGAATCTATGTTCCCTTGCTCCCAGAGATATGATCTGACCTTGCTTGAAGGGACAATGAGATTTCAGATGCCACGTACCCTCATTGCACTGGAAATACAGAACCTGGGAGACCTGTTGGAGAGTCCATTGCAGTAAATGGCAACATCCATTTACCTCAAAGGAAGCCTGATGACAAACATGACAATGTAGTCTCATTCTTCACCTTTCCTGTCCACATTTCTCATTGGCACAGGCCTTTATACATACATACGAAGGTATCTAATTACTCAGTAAGCACTTTTAGTGTCTCATTACTCAGCTTATTAAGATCACACACATGCTTCACACAATACTCAAAACAACGAAAGGTTTTTTTTCCTAGAGCTATACACCCTGATCAAACTTCTTCTCTAGACTGCCTCTAGAAATAGCCAAGAGCAGCATGCCCTCTTGGAGGAAGGAAATCTACCCCACAGATGCAGAGATGAGGGGAAGTGCCTTTTGCACCTGACACCACTGACTGGAAAGGGCACCTAGAAGAGCAGTTTAGATTAGGAAGATGAATCCTACCCTATAGGTTTAAATGCTGTTAGAAGACAGAGAAATGTAGTCAGAGATACAAATTGATCGCTGTTTTTAGTATTCCCTGCCCTCTACCACAACTTCAGTTGCATGTCTTTCGCATTTAGGATTACAGGAGCACCAGTGCTGACAGCAGGAAGGTTTGTTTTACTTTTGTACATGCAGCAGGCTGTGAACAAGTAAAAAATCCATTGTCTGAAGAAGACTACAGAGCACAGCTGTGATTGGTGCCAATCAACACAGACAGCAAATATTACCTTGGTTTTAATGCAGCCCAGAGCATCCACAATTTTCTGTATTTCAGGCTTGGCATTTCCTACCTGTAACACAAATCATACAAAAAGAAAATAACCATACATTCTCATGATACCTTTAGTTTGCTGTTAAGAGTTCTCAAGGAAACATTTTCCCTGCACCATTTCCTTACATAACAAGAGTATTACAGCAAAAGTGACTAGAACTGTCTCTGTAAAATCATGCCAGTTGACGGCACAAATGGGTCAGCCAAAGGCACTGGACAGAATAAAATTATCTTCATTTACAGTGTGTAGATTTATTTTCGGACTTGAGCTGTTCTGTTTTCACAGAAGTCACCCTCCTAATAAAACACAGTGAGGCCAGGACAGAGTCCACACTGCTGGGGCACAGTCACCTTCTCCAACTAGCTGTGAAGACAATTCAACTATGACAAAATGCTCTGGATGTTTAACAATGACAGGAAAATGAAACTAGGTGTTATTTAAGCTGGTCCTACTGCAGCTTCACACACACACATAACTTTGTCAATTATACACATCACCTTTCACTGATAAGACTTACGGCAGTGTCACTGTCATGATGAAAGCAAGTGTGCTGCTATAGGGCTGCCTCAGCAATGGTCGGTAGTCATCCTCCACGGCTGGTGTACAATTTTTATATGTAGAGAAAACCAAGAATTTGGAGCGCCATCTACTTTGCTGCGGGTTTAGGCAGTATAGCATAATGCTGCCTTATTCTGTATTTTAGGCTCTTAGTGAACACACTGGACTCATCCAAATAATACAAAAGAAAAATTTTAACTAACCTTGATGAAGACGCCTACCACAGTCAAGCCATCAGGATGCTTCACAGCTTCAGCAAATGTACCATATTTTACATTCCAGTGAACAATATGGAGCTAGGAGCAAGAAAACAAGAACCACTATGAAGATCATATTCCATCCACAATATTTTACAAATGAGGATGCAGGGAAGTAATTTATTAAACATTAAGAGCAGATGGTGTTTTACTGCTGAGATTTAAGAACTTCTGTGTACACTTAAGTATTTGTTGAATCCTTCATCTACTTTGAAGTTTCATTTATGAAAAGAGATTTCTGTCATGCATTTTATTGTGCTTCTCGCTCTTATTCCCAGATGAGTTTTAAATGCAAACTGTGGCTGTATCGTTCTACTTTTAGCCTGATGAAACTCCTGTTGTCTTCAGCATGAGTTTTTCCTGCATGCAGACTGCAGGATTTTGATGTAGTATTTTAATGTTATATATCCTGCAGTTATTATCAACCCTGAAATACATGATTGTCAGTGTTAGGAGAAGCAGAGAAGATGGTTTAACTACAGATCTGACCTGCAGTAAAGAGAGCTTTCAAAAAAAACCAGTCCTGTCCTTTCTGGAAAGCCTTTAAGAACATGAAATGAATCTCCAGGTCACATTAGCCAGGATGTTGCTTTCTTTTTCATTCCCAAGTTGTTTCTAATTTCATTTCATCTGGCTGTTTACTGTGAACAGACGGGAGGCAACGGCAAGTTTCTCAGATAAGACAAAAGCTACTTCTACCTCATGAAAGTGTGGGGCCATTGAATTTGTGGGGCCATTTCTTTTATCCATCAATGAAAATCACAGGTACGTTCAGTCAATGTGTATTTATAAAAGGGTTAAAAAAGTCTGTCACAGCATCCAGAGGTACAGAGGACAAGAAAAGGTGGGATGCAAGGCACTGAAGTAATTTCATTTCTGTACTGAGACTGTAATACAGAGTCTTAAGTGGTCCAAGGGACATGTGGAGTCTTAAGGCTATTACATAGAATGCCTGCAAGGTCTCACTTTGCTACCTGCCTTCTTCACAGCTCCCCTTACTTCTTTGCTACCAAAAGATGAAAGAGTCTGCCCCAAAATTATTCTGTTGCTTATATGCATGTTTCTGATGTTAAGAACTGAAGCCAGGAAAAGGGGATGTGTGTGTACAGAGGTGCTGCAATTCCATTTCTTCATAAATTTCAAGGGTCATCAAGAAAGCAGGGGAAAACCAGGGATAATTAAAGTGGGGTTTTCTGCTTCTGTAGTCTCTTTGACATGAAGTAGCTCAGAAAAAAATTATTACAAGAGTCCTTCAATTCTAATCTCTGCTCTTGAAAGGAGTAGGTCTCGTGGTGGCATTGTACCAAAATATTCTACAGTAACCTTCACAGTCTCTTGCCCTATGAAGATCTGTAGAGAAGCTGCTGCTGTGGTGGAATAGAAAAAACAATAAATACTCATTATACACAAAAGGCTGGAGAAGGTAAAGCATATCCTACCTCTGCATCATACTTCACACCATCCACGGTGTGCTCAGACCCTTGGCCCTCACAGGATCCCCAGTGAATGTGAAGCTGTACCAGCCTGTAGACTCCATCCAGCGCTCCTCCTTGCAGCACTGCAAAGCAAAGAGCCTCTATTAGCATCTCCTGTAACATTTGTTATTGAGTCTCACTTCAGACTGGAACGTCCGTCTCAAGTCTCCCAAGTGAATTTCAGTTCATTGCTCTGCATGCTGCCATGCTACTCCAGATCATCTTCAATGGTACATTGCTGCAATATGCCAAAATCAATAATAAACATATAAAAACATAAGTGAGTTCACAGTGAGCGTCTCATCAGCAATTTAACAGGCATGCTAATATTACAGGTGACGAGGAGAGAGCTAATGATGTAACTTTTCTGTCACCAAATACATAAAAAAGACCAAGAAAAAGAACAGCCTTTGTAAGAGGCCCATATAGAGTTACTCTACAGAAGCACATTTGAAGACCAAATCATCTTTCACTTACTAATGCACTCTGTCCCTTCATTTTAGATACTTTATCCATTTAGGCCTTAATCCTGCAAACCCTGTGGCAGACTGGATTGAGCAAAATGCTTTTGGTTCCAAATTAAACCTAAACACTTGTTAGCCATGGGCTGAAGCAAGGTAAAGCGCCAGGCACAGTGCAAGGCATCGCAAAGACGTGAATTCAAATCTCTTGTCCCTCCCATCCTTTACTCCTCAAGCATGAGTTTCAAAAATGGTGGTGAAAATGTCGACGCCTGCAGTGGCATATTTTTTTAAAATACAGATAGGGAATGAGGCATTTACTTATGCTCTCCATTATCTGACACTAATGCTGCTATGGGACTGCTGTAAGCAGAGTGCCCAGCCACACTTTCAATTATGCAGGAGTGAGTTCCCCTGAGTTCCCTTCTTCTGCTTGTTGGTTTTAACCTTGTACTTAAACTGTGACCAACCACCATTACGATATGCAGGATCAAGCCCTATTACTGCAAAATGCTCAAGGCACAGACAATGTCTCCTCTGGTGCAGTATAAAGCACAGAACAATAACAAATAGTTCTATTAAATAGACCTATTTATCCAAGTTATTAGAGCAAGGTTTCACACTGGTTTGCGGTTTAGGGTTTCATTTTTTTTTTGCTAAGTGTTTTAAATTCACAATTAAATCTTTAATAATAATTAAATTGTTAAAATTTAAAAATGAAAGATTTTTAAATGCAATTTCAAGTGTTATACATCTTTGAGATCAATTTCTCTCTATTTATATATAAATATATATACACAATAAAGTGACAGAAGAGTGTTGACATCAAATATTACATGTGTGCTCTGTGTATGTGACACAAACAAAATGGTTCTGTAAAGTAAAGACGCTTTCCTCCCAGTCTGCAATTAGTCTAGACACTAATCACAACACGTGCGTGTGTGAAAATATACATCAAATGCAGATAGGAAAAGGTCATTGTCTGTTCAGGTTTGAATAATACTTATTACATGCAAGCACTGACAACAACAGTCATGGATGCTTGGCAATGGAGTGAGAAGAATTTGACTAAAAAAAGGAATACGTGAAAACTAAATATATGTATAAAACACATTAGCTTCCATGGGTGTGCCTTACACATGCAAAATTTGGGTTCAGTGGACAAATTCAGCATTTGCCTGGGACTCCTTCTTCAGTAAATATATTTAGAAGTCTCCCAACACGTATTTCTATTTGAAAAATGTGACTGTATGTTCCACTGCAGTCTTTGTAATTTCTGATACTGTGGCCAACACTGAACAGCCAACAGACCAAGCCTTGCCCTACCTATTGCCAAGCTATGTGATACAAAGAAGAATGGCTACTTAAAGTAATTAAATAGGAACGTATCTTATTCTACTTTCATGTTTCTGCACGTGCTAGTTGCCAAGAAGCATAAATGTTTCAAGCACAGGACTACAAACTAGAATATTTTTTTCAGAATGGCGACTGTGAACGTGCAGTAGTTCCTTTCAAAAATGAAGTAATTGGTTGCTATGTCTTTACAGATGCAAAATCATTTAATCCACACAATATCACATTTCTTTTAAAAATAAGGCCATGGAGTTGCAATACTTCAGTTTCAGTTCCTTTGGCTGATGGACTTGCTGTTCATTGCAGGTGCAAATGGACTGAGGTTCCACCGTTCCTCAACCTCAGAAAGCACTAGCGCAGCACAGGTTAATCTGCCATTATTAATCAATGGAAAGCATGCTGAAAAGCAGAATCATGCAATCTTCTTAAATCCATTTGCAGTGTTATTTCTCTACACAATTTGCTATAGTCTTGTAAAACTCAAAAGATTCAGAAAAATCTCTTCGCAGTTTTTGCTTACTTTTCTCATTTTGTGGTTCTCAAATCCAGCACTAGCTTATTTTGACTCACAGCAGAGCATTTGAAGAAAGTAATAATTAGATTAGTGTAAATGAATACAAATTCAGCAGGCTTAATTACAAAACAGCCCTTCTTGTTCTAGCCTACATTGAGCAGTTATTTTTTTAATACTTCTTAGGCTTTCCAAAGAGGTAAAATTTTAAATTAAACTTAAAAGGCAAAGTAGAAATGTTAGACCTTCATTTTTTTCCAGCACAAGCTTTTAAAACCACAAATAAATGCTACCACCTTTGGCAAAGTAAAAATTCAATGAGAATCAGAGCACCATTCACACTGGGAACTTCCCTGTCCTGCGTGGCAAGAGCATTGATTCAGGCCACGTTGGCGATAGAAGTCCAACCTTTCCATCCCCTTTTTTTGAGGGATGGAGAAATTCTGATCCATATTTGAGCACCTCATCATTAGCTCCCTTCCTTTTGAAATTAGTTATTAGCATACACCATCCTGGAAACACACAGGTAGCTGTGCTCCCTTTTGTGACACAGCACAGCTTCAGGTGCAAGGTGAAGACAGCACCAGCCACCCTGGAAAACACATTCTTTTCTTACGGGTCCATCCTGCTAAGCACAATCTACATCGTAACCTGGTCTCCACAGATGTGTAACGGCCCAAGAGGTAACAGCTTGAAAATGCAACTTTTTTCCTATATCACAGTTATTTGAAATGTTACAGTGAGACAAATTTGGAGCTACTTTGCTTAGATTAAAAAATGTTAACTGTTTTCAACCCTCTACCCTTAACTGGAGAAGTCATACTAGTAACATCCTGTAATTATATTGAACTATTATTAAATGATTTCATAACATTTTCTAAGTTAGGTGAACACAAGCATTAGCAGTGCTAATTTGGAAAGTCAAATAACCACACTAACTGTTCCATTTACGCCTGCGCGACTTCTTGGATAAAGAAGGTGAACTCAGTTTGTCTCCACTACACTTTCTTTGGATATTTGGAAACACGCTGAAATCAAAGGGCATTTTGCTGCATCTGGGACAGCTGTTTACTGAGGCCACACAACTTTTCTATTTAAAGGCAACTCACTGGGTAGTCACCCTTTCCATGTAGAACAGAACAGCATTGTAAAAAATACTGTGGACCACTTCAGGCCTTTCTTCAGGAAGCAGCAGCATCCATGTGTGAATTTTTTGCAGGAACACTGTGGAATTACTGTTATTTAGTTACCTCCTATGGGAGGTTCTCTCTGTACAGAGCAGGAGACTAATAAATCTCCTCAAGGCAATAAACCTGTCAAAGAAATCATCAAAATGGCTAGAATACAAGACGGTTTCAAGAGTTAGAATGAATTCCTTCCTGTTGTACAAATTAGCATGGTACGAAAAACACTAAACTTTGTTACTCTGAGAAAATGCAGAACGAGAAAGTCTTCTTCAGATGGAAATCGCTGACAGCAAAGCTCCTTCCAGTAGCTGAAACAATGGGTTCATTACAGCACAACGATGTTCAGAGCTCCAAACTTAGGAAATTTAGTTCTAATTCAGGTTCCACCAAACAAAAACCAAGCATCAGGACCTTTCCAGCATCTGCCTTTGAGGACAGCCCTCTTGCACACACATTGCTTCGGCATAAAGAAAGCCATTATTTTTGTATCACTCTGCAGTAGATGTGCATGTGTATATGATGTTGTAGGTATGTGTGTATGCAAATATAAGCATAGTGTATACATAAATGTTAATGTTTTGTAAGCTTCTATGTATACACAGACATCTGTATGATAGAAAACAGGCCTTTAAGAGGCAAAGCAGATGAAGCATTACTTGAGAACAAAAAAACATCTTGAGCACCATGCACTATTAATGGCACAAAAAAGGCTCTTACGAGGATGCTCAAGGATTAGCCCTGGGTTCTTATGCAAGGATGGGCTTCCCCGTCTGACACACCGAAGAGTTCAGTTAGGGTGAGCTGTCACTTCTGTGAAACCCAGAGTACAGAGCGTCACATTTGGTGAGATGTTTCCTTCTTTATGTTATCTCTTTCAGACATTCCTCCTAGGACGCTGTATCACGACAAGCAAGAGAGCAAGACAGCACGCAAGAATCTGACTGTGGGGATCATACTTGCAGAAAACATCTGTAAGGGGTTTCACCGAGAGACAAACTACGTAATTGGTATAAGAAAAAAATCCTACTCTGACCTTGCCAGAGGGTTAGCCTGATAAGGCAACAAGGATGTTCCACAGAGACAGACCAGAAAGAAACATCTGCCAAAATGCAGCAGGTCTGCAGATGCGTGTATCGGCAGCAGGTCAGTGATTCGGATTCACCTCAGCTGAACTATTTGATCCAGACTTGGCAGCAGCCAGACAGACTCTGACCTGCTTAAGGATATAACATCATTTAGGTTCCTAATTTTCCTCCCACTCCCTGGGACCAGTGGAGTTTCTCTCATGTAGTCTCTTTAATGGAGATTCTCTGAGCCATGAGGTGCTGTGCTGAGTCCCTGATCAGCCTTCAATCCTCATGTTTCACACTGCATGAGCATGAGCTGACAGTGACTCTGTAAGAACTGAGTTGGAAGCACTCAGATTCTCTTAAAACTAACAACTGGTTTAATTTCCAATGACGACAGCTATAATATTAATCTCAGTGACTGCTTACAGTACTGAAAATTGTGTATTGGGCACAGTGCTCATACTATGTTGAGATCTAATGAAGGATGAACAAACTTCAGAT